CTATTTATACCTCCCTGTCCCATAGTTCCTCTACCAGGTCTGGACTGCGCATTATACCCCGCCCCTTTTTCTCAATTGGCACCAGGTGAGCAGACGTCCCAGGTAAATGCCCTGGTCAGATGGCTTGATCCCTCGATCGTGATCTCTGGTCAGCTGACGCCGGCTGTACCTGTCAGACGGCCGTAATCCCTGGTCAGACGGCCGGCGCCGTCGTGGTCCAAACTCTCCACACTATATTTATATATACAAAGCACTTAAAAAATTGTAGTGTCCCCCATATATATATACACACACACAAATTAATTATATCTTTATAATATCTACGTCAATATCTAACGTCTATATATTAATCTCTCCGCTCTCTCTCTCTCTCTCTGTATATATATATATATATATATATATATATATATATATATATATATATATATACACACACATATATATATTATATTATCCACTGTATGTTGTTAAGGAACCAGGGGAGTAGATAGAGATAGCATATATATATACACACACACACATAATTTATATATATATATTATCTATATCTATATCTCTCATATATATATATATCTCTCCCCTCTCTCTCTCTCTCTCTATATATATATATATATATATATATATATATATATATATATATATATATATACACACACATATATATATTGTATTATCCACTGTATGTTGTTAAGGAACCAGGGGAGTAGCTAGAGCTAGCGACGCCCAGGACGCGCCGAGAGTTTTGACGCTCCTTGCCATAAAAAATGTTTCTGACGTTGTCAGAAAGACCACCCCGCCATATAAAGACAAAATTTGAAGCCCCCCTCCTCCACCCCCCACCCCCCTATGTAAGTTTTCCATGTCTTGAGATGCCCAGTTGCTGCATTTTTAGAAGTTCTAAACCTCATGGTAAATCTGTTAACATCCGATTGTTCATGGTAAATTTTTGTGTGTGCTACTTGGTGGACTACCAGGGGCAGTCGTCAGTGGAGGATGTCACAGTTCTGACCACAACAGCATACATTGTTATATTAATTTTTTTTTCCGGAACAATATTGAAATGTGATGGTCACATTTTCATGCTGAGAAAAAAGCTTTTGGCAAGTACAAACTGAATTTTGATTTCCACGAAAAAGAAAAATTCCTGTATTTAAAAAAAAATAGACATTTAGAGATTTTAGTACTGTCTCACCACCATACTGTCTCACCACCACCGTACTGTCTCACCATCGTACTGTCTCACCATCGTCCTGTCTCACCACCGTGCTGTCTGACCACCATACTGTCTGACCACCATACTGTCTCACCACCGTACTGTCTCACCACCGTACTGTCTCACTCACCACCCTACTGTCACACCACCATACTGTCTCACCATCGTACTGTCTCATCATCGTACCGCCCCACTATTGTACTGTCTCACCGCCGTACTGCCTCACCATCGTACTGCCTCACCACATTACTGTTCTCACCATCGTACTCTCTTACCATCGTCAGTGCTAATATATAAAAATTCCAGTTTTTCTTACATTCGAAAAAAAAAAACAACAACAAAAAAGTCTGTGCAGACCTGTGGTGTTACGTCACCATTATGAACACGTTACGTTGTTACGATGAACTTGATTGGTGTATTGACCTGCTGATCACGTGACATAGAGGCGGTCACTCCGATCCAGACGCACCGGGAGTTTTTTTCTCCGAATTCACCTGCTTTTTTTAAAAACCATCACGGCCTCGAGTCTGTCCGCTTGTCTGTCCGCCTGTCTGTCCGTCCTGTAATTCCAACATTTGATTTTGATGAATAATCTCTTTCCATCGGCCGGCATGCCATCACTTCTCTATTTGTCATCATTTAAATTTACATAACGGCTGCGCTTACGACGAGGGGAAGATGGCCGACCTGTCCCAGGGGACATCTGGTGGTCATCGGGAATGAGACGACAACGTTATCAGCAGGGGTTGGGAAAAGAAGGGGGGGGATGTCTGCATCTTTCTTTTACTGGGTTAGTTAACAAAGATAAAAACATATATATATAAAAAAACACGAACTAAGAATTGGGGGAATCGATGTTAATCGGAGTCGTCAGGGCCTTACCATAAGGGAATTATAATTAGTTCAATATAGACTTTGTCATGTATCGTCCAGATGGTAGTATCGATGTTTGTGTGTAATTTTGGTCCAAATCTTCTTTCTTTGGTTTGTTACATTTCTTGTCGTCTTTATATATTTTTATTAGGGCCGGGGGGGGGGGTGTATTTGTGCTCAGCCTCGTGTTAGTGCAGAGGAGGAACAAGTTGTAACATTTCTTGTCGTCTTTATATATTTTTATTAGGGCCGGGGGGGGGGGGTGTATTTGTGCTCAGCCTCGTGTTAGTGCAGAAGAGGAACAAGTTGTGTCAGATGGGACGTTGTAGCACTTGACCTTTTCAACCCTCCCTCACTGCATCCTTCCCTACAACCCTCTCACTTTCACTCTCTATCTCTCTCGCTCCATCTCTCCATCCCCCTCTCTATCCCTCTGTCTCTCCCTCTCTCTGTTTCTATTACCTCCCCCCCCCCCAAACCACCAGCGTGTACCAGTGATCTCCCACCTTCTATCCAAGAGTATCATTATGTGTTCTCTCACTTGTCCAAGAGTATCATTATGTATTCTCTCACTTGTCCAAGAGTATCATTATGTGTTCTCTCACTTGTCCAAGAGTATCATTATGTATTCTCTCATCCTCTCCGTGTGGGGCATCGGGCACTGTCTTGTTATATAAAAGCTTAGCATTATTCAAATGTAGCCCTGTCTCTTTGAGTGTAGCCCTGTCTGTTTGAGTGTAGCCCTTATCTCTTTCGGTTTGCAGCACTGTCTCTCCTAATGCAGCACTATCTCTCCGAATGCAGCACTGCCTCTCCTAATGCAGCACTGCCTCTCCTAATGCAGCACTGCCTCTCCGAATGCAGCACTGCCTCTCCTAATGCAGCACTATCTCTCCGAATGCAGCACTGCCTCTCCTAATGCAGCACTATCTCTCCGAATGCAGTACTGTCTCTCCGAATGCAGCACCGTCTGTCTGAGTGTTATCACAAACAATTCTCTCTGGCTCTCCAGGTGAAGCACTTAGCTTACTCTTATTGTCTCGGAACGTAGCAATATCCCTCGAGCGTAGAACCATACGCCTTGAATGTAGCACTGTGTAATTGTTTTTTAGATGCCCCCCCCCAAAAAAAAAAAAAAAAAAAAAAAAAAAACAAAAAAAAAAAAAAAAATTGTCTCGGAACGTAGCAATATCCCTCGGGCGTAGAACCATACGCCTTGAATGTAGCACTGTGTAATTGTTTTTTAGAGGCCCCCCCCCAAAAAAAAAAAAAAAAAAAAAAAAAACAACAAACACAAAAAACATATAGAACAAAATCTTTTATTTATATAGCGCTTGATTAACTTGTAACTCTAGATTAATTTGTATAAAAAGGGAATTAAAAAATGAATTAAATTACGTTAATATATTGTAAAGTGAATAAAACAATTAAAGGGAGGTTATCAGCAACTTTCTTTTCACCAATTTTTATCACCTTATTATTCCCCTTTCGCAGTAAGGCTCGATAGATTTAGCCCTGAGAGCGATGGGCAACGCAAAACAAGATTCTTCCTTTAGCTAAAACACGCCACTTCACCTAACTTGTACACGTGTACACAATGAACGCCTTCTTCAGACTGAGATGGTCTCAATGAAATTACAGCGTAACAAAAAGCGTACCACTTGCCAGTGATAGAGCTTAAATAGGCATTTAGAAAAAAATAAAATGCTATTCTCACGCCAAAATACCAAAATACCAACGTGAACATCCAGTAATGTAACCATCGCCCGAGTCAACTGTATTTTTAACAAAAAATTGTTTAAAAGCAACTTTTCCAAAAAGTAACAACCCCCCCCCCCCCCCCCCAAAAAAAAAAAAAAAA